GCTAATCTGAAAAAGCTCTCTATGGTAGTACTCGATTTGGAAGAATGTTAGCAAAAGAAAAAAACATTGATAAAGATAGTACTGGATTATAACTCATAGAATACAATAGATATCTGTTAGTCCATACTGATATAAATAAATTATTGAATAAATTAATGCAGGAGAAAGAATAGCTTCTCCTTACAGAATTCTAATTAGTAATTGTAAAAGGAATGAGAAAAATAGAGAATCACCATTAGAATACCAGAATAAAATTTGTTGGCTCGGCACAGTGACTCAGTCCCAGTGCCTGTAATCCCAGAATTTTGGAAGGCCAATGTGGGAGGATTGCTCCAGGAGTCTGAGACCAGCCTGAGCAACATAATGAGACATTGTCTCTACAAAAACATTTAAAAATTAGCCAGGCATGGTGGTATACTCCTGTAGTTCCAGCTACTCAGGAGGCTGAGGCAGGAGGATTGCTTGAGTTCAAGGTTGCAGTGAACTATGATTGTACCATTGCACTTGAGCCTGGAAAACAGAGCAAGATCCTATCTCCTAAAAAAAAAATTGTTGTGGGCAAGATGTACCCCTGGATACTAAAATTAATGGGTGAAAGTTTGAAGAGAAACAGGATATTTGCAGAGTCTCAAAGTATTGCCTCATGATATTTTTATTAATTATTATATGAGTAAAAATAGTGATCTACAGTGGAGAAACCCAACAGAAACCACCTTAGCCAGGTGATCTAGGTTAACGTCACCAATAACAAGACATGGACAGAATGTACCCTCTGATATTTTGCACTGAGAAGGGCCCATTACTTCCAAGGTGTTCTTGCAAAAAATGCATAACCTTATTTAAAAAATAAGACAATTCCAAAATCAGGGGCATTCTACAAAATATGTGACAAATACTCTTCAAAAAATGTCAAGGTCATGAAGGAAAAGAAAGGATTGAGGAACTGTCAGGTTGGAGGAAACTAAGGAGACATGAAAACTCAATGTGACGAGGGGTACTAGACTAGACTGGATCTTGAAACAGAGAAAGGACATACGTTTAAAAAATGATGAAATCTGAAAAATGATTATAATTGAATTAATAGTTTATATCAATATTAATTTCTTAGTTTTGGTAAATGTACCATGGTTATGTAAGATGTTAACTTTTTTTTCTATTTTTTTCCTCCTTTCATTTCATTATATTATGGGGGTACAAATATTGTTGGGGTTACATATATTGCCCCTGCCACCCCTCCTCCCCTCTGTGCCAGCGCTTCAGGCATGTCCAACCCCCAGTTGGTGCACATCATACCCATTATGTAAGTATACCCCGTTCCCCTCCTCTCTTAAGTAATGCAGAGTATATGGCAAGTTTTCGTACTATGTTTGCAACTTTTCTCTTAAGTCTAAAACTATGTCAAAATTAAAAAATAAAAAAGACAAACCCAGCAAAACTGACACTGTACTTTATAATTTCCTTCTCTATTTATTTCACCTCCACCCCCCCTTGCCTCCTCCACTGCTATCACTGGCTGATCTGCTTTGTTCTCATCCCATCACATATCCCAACTAGTCTCCCGTGACTCTCACGCAAATTTAAAGCTTAGCAAATGTCCTGGAGACTGTCCAGTGTCTAATGCCTTCTTATTTCAGGAAAAGATACTGAAATCTCCAGAGATTAAATGTGGGCAAAATCCTTCAGCTAGTGAATGGAGGCACAAGAGTTTACTACAAAGACTCAGGGAGAGAGGGAGGTAAGAGTCACAAGAAGAGTTTTCCTGTGTGACTTTGTGCTGCCCATGCTGTAAACCATATACGTTTTGGGGCCCAGGAAACAGAGTGAAAAGCTGAATTGAGTAGAGGAATATTGTCCCTGCTCTGTGCTGAACTAAATCGAGTTCCAGTTCAGATAGAACTGATGGAATGCAAAGACTTTGAGCACCTCAAGAATTTTCAGCTTGGGTGGCACTCCAGACAGGGAACATAACTATCACAGGCGAATAAGTGGCAGCTACAGTAGCGTGGAGCAGCACATAAAAAATACTATTTCTAAGTACAGGGGAGATACTTTCTGGGGAAATAGATGAAAAAGCTTCTGAGGGAAACTTGTATTGCTCAACAAATGTCAATACTAAAGCCAATGTGGCTTTGTTTGTCCTCATTAGCTGACGAAGCCTGGCTTGCATTTGCAGATGACAAGGGAAGGAATACACAAGGTGACAAGTACAAAATCAGAGGTATGGATGAGAACTTATGGGAGTACCTACGTGGAGAAAGGCAAAAAAAGCCCTGCCTTCAGCAGGCAACAGTGGTGCTGGGTCTAAGAGACCCAAGGAGCTGGCTTTGAGCCAAGAGAATACATCAAAGTTTCTCAACTATGCCCCACTATTAGCATGCTTGGCCACATAATTCTTTGTTGTGGTATTATATATTTAGCAGCATCCTTGGCTTCAGCCTATATAGATGGCAGTACTAACCTTACTCCCTAGGTGACAAAGCCAAACATGTCTCTAGACATTGCCAAATACTACTGGGGGAGACAGAATGTCTCCTGCTTAAAAATCACTGAGATAGAGAGGACTGAGAAAGGGCATTCTAGGCAGACAATAAAAATGAAGACAAAAGGGGGAATACTAAGCAGTTTGATATATCACTTATAGCATGGCACCTGGCTAGAAAGAGAAGAAGGGTGCTGCTAGGCAGAAGCCACTCACAGAGAATCTTGAATAGCTTATTGTGCTAAAGTTTTGCCATTTGCCCCTCCAGACCTCCCCTCCCTGCTCTGAGGCTGACTTTTATGGGTGGCATCACAGAGACTCTCTTGCCCTTTGACCAACAGGAGGCACTGGCCAGAGACTGGAGGGTGGAAGTAGAGAGTTTGGGACCTTATTCCCAAGGCTCCCTCTCTGCTGGACTGCGATTTGGCAAAGGCTGCGTTCCCCTATGTTTATAGCTCCTTCCCAGTGACATCTCTTTCTTGGTACCAGTTCTCATTAGAGTCTGGCTACATAGTTCCTTCTACATACCTCTCTTAAGACCTGAGGTGGTAAAAATTTTATGATGCTGCTGGTCCTGGGGTGCCTCACTGGGCATTTTTGTTTCTTTCACCCGGCCAAACCCTCTGTAAATAGCTCCTTTATTAGTTTCTCTTCAGTTGCACCTTTTTGAGCATGGCATTTATTTCCTGCTGGAAGGCTAACACAAAGCAAATACTGTAGACTTTATCCCAGAGTTGATGGGAAGCCATTCAAGACGTAAAATTTAGGATTAACAAGATTAGTTCATCATTTGATCTTTTTTATCTGATAATTGTGGGCAGGATGGATTTCAGGAGCAAAACAGTTGCTTCAGAAACACCAGTGAGGAGGATTTAGCAATAATCCAGGGAAGAGATGGTGATTATCCAACCAAAATAAAGGTAGTAAGTGCAGAGAGTAGATCACAGATTTGAGAAATATTTAGGGGTTAAATTACTTAGTATGGGTAATTGATAGAATGTAGATGACAAAGAAAAAGGGCTCGGAGTGAAGGCCATATTTTTATCTTAGGAGATGACTAAGTGTTTGATCTTGCTTATAACCACCAGAACAGAAGCTCTGGAGCTTCTGAACACAAAAGCAGAAGCAAATTTAAATTTACTGGGGAAAAGAATGAGTCATTTTTCACCAGGTTGAATTTGAGATGTCTGTGTGACATCCAAGTAGAGATGTTCAGCAGGCTTTGCATATGCAAGCCTGAAGCCTAGGGAGGTGCTCTGAACTTTCTATGTAGATTGTGGAATCATAAACTACAAATGGTTGTTGAAATTTTGGGACTAGTAATTAGGGAACAGAGGCATTCAAAGAATGGGCAGAGAAATGGTGAAAGAAAGCAGAAGAGGAATGGCCAAAGATGTACAGGAATACAAAAGAGTGTGCTTAGCTCAAATGCCAAGGGAGTAAAGAGTTAGAGGGAAAGAGTTATCTAGATTGTCAGTTGTAAAAATATCAAGTGATCAGGGTACACTACTCCAGTTCCAGTTAGGGGCTGAAAAATAGCTGTTGGTTTTGGTACTCTTCTCACAGACTTGTCATAGGTATCAACAATATATAAATTGTCCTGCATAGTGACAAGTATAAGGTAGACATCTTTAATTAACTTTTTTATAAGCATTTACAACAGTGTGATCTACTGTGCATAACACACAATATACACAGTAAATACTAAACATCAATTTTAAAAGTTAATAAGAAGCTGTATAACTTCTGTTGTAATTTAAGATATCCACTTAAGTTAGAAAAAGTCAGAACAGTGATCTAGAAAATAAAGACTTTACTGCTTTGGATGAATGAGTGGCCAGGTTAAGCAACACTTCATAGGCCACAGACTTACAGATAAAGTTGGGTCCTATTGAGTTAAACATCAGTAACGGCTGCAGCTGAAGCTAAGGGAGATCCTATCAACAAAAAATAGTGATCATTTTATGGTAAAGTGTATAAGCCATGTCCAGTTGGAACTTTCTCCAGAGATATAATGGTTCTAATTTTTCAAAGCTTTTAAAAACATCTATGGAACAAGAAACACCAGTGTTCATGTCCATAGAGCTGATAAAATCTGCACACACGTTAAGAGTATTTACCTTTTGTTTTTTTTTTTTTTGTTGTTGTTGTTGTTGTTGTTGGTCTGCTTTTATTTCAGGATATTATGAGGGTACAAACATTTTGGTTACATTTTATGTCTTTGCCTTGCCCAAGTGAAGGTTAGAGGCATCCCCTTACCCTCTACAAAAAAAAAAAAGAAAAGAAAAGAAGAGAAAGAAAAGAAAAGAAAAGAAAAGAAAAGAAAAGAGAAAGAAAAGAAAAGAAAAGAAAAGAAAAGAAAAGAAAAGAAAAGAAAAGAAAAGAAAAGAAAAGAAAAGAAAAGAAAAGAAAAGAAAAGAAAAATACAGGCCTATCTCAGAGATAGTTCCAGACCAACCACAATAAAGTGAATATTACAATTAAAAAAAAGAGAAAAAAGAGAGAGAGAGTATTTATTTACCTTTTGATGTAAACTTAACTGGCACATGTTCTCCTTGGATATGCAGGGTTTTCCATCAGCTTTCTCAGAAGACAAGCAAATGAGCAGATCCCAGAGGCCCAAATCACCTAAAAGCAAAACATTGAGAAACAATATTTTTGTCAGATATTTTAAAGGGACTATTTAGTTTTTCAGGTAAAAGAATGCAAGTATTTAAACTTTAAAACACAATTAACAGTGATCCTGAATATATTTAAAAGAAAAAGTCAATATTCAAAGTAACTAAAATTCAAGTTTTTAAATTTAGCAGGCTTGGGCTAAATTAGAAATTATATTTGGTATTGTATTCTATAGAAAATTCAATTATCTCAAGATATATAATTTCTTTAAAAAACTGAAATTAAAGTACTTTGAGTCACTAATTAAAAATTTATAAAGTCTTATTTGTAGATTGGGAAGAAAGAAGGTTATAAAATCTTTTAAGACAGGAGAAAGTTGTGAAATCAAATAATGATAGAAAGTCAAAACATAGAATATTTTGTTCTGGGCTCTGTTATTACTATGATTTTTCATAGATCTAAAGATAAAATATACTTTTATATACAAAATATACTTTTATGTCTTGCAAAGAAAAAATTATGCTAGGCAGAAAAGAAAATTCAACGAAAATAAAAAAGACAAGTTTATTGTAAAAGGAATTTGTGACCTAGTTATAGACAGAGTTCAGTTCAAAATACGGAGTATAACACAGACCAAAGCAAATGATATTTCAACTATTCACCAAGGACAAAGTTCTTACCAAATTACATAAATCATTGTAACTTGCCAAAATAATCTCAGAAAAGTACATTCTTGCATAATATCTGAACATTTAAAAATTAACATTTGTGTGTATACATGGGTTTTTATTTCCCCTTGTTCTCTTTGATCTATGTATATATATTTATCAACATGCCTTGCATAAAATTGGTGCTTTGAAAATATTTGTTGAATGAATGAATGAATAACTAGGCCCTGATAGGATGGCAAACACATTACCTCCTGGAAGAAAAAAAGAAATAGTAAGCTTCAATTTCTTTTCCCCTTCTCAAGGTTTTTATTTTATGTATGTATTTATTTATTTATTATTTCAGCATATTATTATGGGGGTACAAATGTTTAGGTTACATATATTGCCTTTGATCCAACCAAGTCAGAGCTTCAAGTGTGTCCATCCCCCAGATGGTGTGCACTGCACCCATTAGGTGTGTATATACCCATCCCTTCTTCCCCCTTTCCACTTGCCCAAAACACAATGAATGTTACTACTATATATGTACATAAGTGTTTATCAGTTAATACCAATTGATGGCAAGTACATGTGGTGCTTGTTTTTCCATTCTTGTGATACTTCACTTAATATAATGGGTTCTAGCTCTGTCCAGGATAATGCAAGAAGTAGTAGACGCTATTGTTTTTTGTGGCTGAGTAGAACTCCATGGTATACATAGACTACATTTTATTAATCCACTGATGTCTTTTTTATATACTGTCTTTTTTCCTTTGGGTAGGTGCCCAGTAATGGCATTGCTGGATCAAATGGCAGTTCTACTTGTAGCTCTTTGAGGTATCTCCACATTACTTTCCACAAAGGTTGTACTACTTTGCAGTTCCACCAGCAGTGTATGAGTGTTCCTATCTCTCACATCCACTCTAACATTTATTGTTTGGGGACTTTTTGATAAAGGCCATTCTCACTGGAGATAAGTGATATCTCATTGTGGTTTTGATTTGCATTTTCATGATGATTAGAGATGCTGAGCATTTTTTCATATGTTTCCTGGCCATTAGTCTATCTTCTTTTGAAAAGTTTCTATTCATGTCCTTTGCCCACTTATTGATAAGGTTGTTTGATTTTTTTTTTCTGGCTGATTTTCCTGAGTTCTATATAGATTCTAGTTACCAGCCCTTTATGGGATGTGTAACATGTGATATTTTCTCCTATTCTGTAGGTTGTCTGCTTGCTCTCATGACAGTTTCCTTGGCTGTGAAGAAGTTTTTAATTTGATCAGATCTCATTTATTTATTCTTATTGTTGTGATGGTTTTTGGGATCTTATTCATAAATTGTTTGCCTAGGTCAGGGTTCCTCAAACTTTTTAAACAGGGGGCCAGTTCACTGTCCCTCAGACCATTGGAGGGTTGGACTATAGTTTTAAAAAAACTATGAACAAATTCCTATGCACACTGAACATATCTTATTTTGAAGTGAAAAAACAAACAGGCAAAAACACCCACATGCGGCCCTCGGGCTGTAGTTTGAGGATGCCTGGCCTAGGTCAATGTCTGTCAAAGTTTTTCCAGCATTTTCTTCTACAATTCTTATAGTTTCATGTCTTAGATTTAAGTCTGTTATCCACTGTGAGTTGATTTTGGTGAGAGGTGAAAGATGTGGGTCATGTTTCAGTCTTCTACATGTACCTATCCAATTTTCCCAGCACTATTTATTAAATAAGGATTTTTTCCCCAGCATATGTTTTTGAATGCTTTGTCAAAGATCAGATGGCTATATGAGGATGGTTTTATGTCTGGGTTCTCAGTTCTGTTCCATTGGTCTGTGTCTCTGTTCTTGTGCCAGTCCCATGCTGTTTTAGTTACTATAGCTTTGTAGTATAGCTTGAAGTCTGATAAATTGTTTATTCCTTTTGCTTAAGATGAGTTTTTCTATATGGGGTCTTCTCTGGTTTCATACGAAGTGTAGAATTATTTTTTCTATATCTGTGAAAAATGATGTTGGTATTTTAAAATGATGTTGGTGTTTTAATAGGGATTGCATTGAATCTGTAGATAACTTTGGTTAGTATACACATTTTAATGTTGATTCTGCTGATCCATGAACATGGTATGGTTTTCCACCTGTTTACGTCCTCTGCAATTCCTTCCTCAGTGTTTCATAGTTCTCCCTCTAGTGGTCTTTTACTTCCTCAGTTAAATACATTCCCAGATATTTTATTTTCTTTGTTGCTATTGTGAAGGGTATTGAGTCTTTGATTTGGTTCTCAGTTTGACTGTTGTTGACATATAAGAATGCTACTGATTTGTGTACATTGATTTTGCAACCTGAAACATTGCTAAATTTATTTGTCAATTCCAGTAGTCTCATGGCAGAATCTTTGGGGTTTTCTAGATACAAGATCATATCGTCAGCAAAGAGTGATAGTTTGACCTCTTCTACCCCCATTTGGATGCCTTTGATTTCCTTCTTTTATGTGAATGCTCTGGCTAGGACTTCCAGCACTATGTTGTAGAAGTGGTGACAGTGGGCAACCTTGTGTGGTTCCAGTTCTAAGTGGGAATGCTTTCAATTTTTCTCTGTACAGTATGATGTTGGCTGTGGGTTTATCATATATGGCTTGCATCATTTTTAGGTAAGTCCTGTCTATGCTTACTTTGTTAAGCATTCTTATCATACAAGGGTGCTGAATTTTGTAGAATGTTTTTTCTGCATCTATTGAGAGGATCATATGGTCTTTGTTTTTTTTCTATTTATGTGGTGAATTACATTTATAGATTTGTGTATGTTGAACTATCCTTGCATCTCTGGGATGAAGCCCACTTGGTCATGATGGATTATTTTTTTGATAAGCACCTGAATTCAGTTTGCTGGGATTTTGTTGAGAGGTGACATAGAAGTAGGTATCTCAAAAATAATCAGGAAAACATCCCTGGGTGATATCTAAAAGAGTTGGTTTACTTCAGAAATTTTCCTCCTTTTAGATGGAAATCCAATTTATAAAACAATTAAGTAATTTTTGTACACATTGCCTCTTTTGTTGATCAATCATGAGATAAATGTATTTGCAAGTAACTATGCCAGACTTCACCAGTCATCTCCTGCATTAAGTATAGTGATTTCTAAAAAGTTAGGAAATAACCAACTTCTCCAAACACCACTCTTTTCAAATTTCCCAGAAGAATTTCTCACTCGAAAAGCACAATGTTTCCAAAGAAAGGCTTTATGAAAAAAAATGATCAATAAGGAAGAAGGGTCTATTACAATTAGGAATGAAATTTTACTCTCCACCAATCAATTCCTTTTTAATTTGACAACCCCTATGCCATCTGGTCTATTGGTTCCTCTGTTTTACATTGTCCTGTTGCTGGAAAGGAAACCTTTCTACCACACAAAGGGATTCAGACAATTAATTCAAACTCTTGTCCTAGAGTTTCTCTGCTTGCTTGATGTGTCAGAAGATGTTGGAAGATAGACAACAGTTCAAAGGTGCAAAGGAGAAATGAAGCAGGTGATTTGGGGACAAGAGAAATCTCATCCATGGAATAGCCATCAGGCTTTGGCTTAGAAGATCTAATGTGTTACACATGCCCTCACTTTGAAAAAAAAAAAAAAACTTCAAACCAATTCCTATAGCTAAAACTAAATACTACATAATGATTCCAATACTTTATTTTAAATGTGCATCTGGCTTTTTCATCCAAAAGCTTTTCATTTCTATTTAAAGGGAAACACAAAGACTGCTTTTATTCTTTATTATTTCTAGTTCAGGAAATAATAAAACCCTAGAAGAATCCTCCTGTCATAAGATTCCCAACTAAATATTTTAAGAAGATAAAGATATGCAAGGAGAGAGGGATTTCAAATCATGGACTGCAGTGTTTGGGTCTTAAAAACAGAACACATTTATATTCTTCTAAGTCTAAGGCATGCCTTCCTCTCTACCCAAGGCACACACATAATTTCTAGAGTTGTTAAAAGAAATATATATTTAAGCCATAAATGTTTAAAACTGGAAGACATGTTTAAATAATGCAAAGCATTTGGTTTATTAAGAACCTCCTATGAACAGAACATTGTACTAGAAATATGAAAGTAAAAAGCAAAAAAGAGCAGACAGTCACTGCCTTCAGCAATCTATTTCAAGGATCAAAACATTAAAAAGAAATTAGGATAACTTATAGAGCATTATGTAGTTTCTTGGCATTCATAAGGGTGACCCTTCATCACTCAAAGATATTTAATTAATATTTTAAATTAAAAATTGTTAACTCAAAAATATTCCATAGCTCACAAATTTCCCCATAAAATGAAGTATAACTGAAATTTTAAGTGATCCCTTCATGTGTTTCTTCCC